AACTAGACTGTTGTGTCTCCCTAGGCACCCGGCCTTATACCTAGACTGTTGTGTCTCCCTAGGCATCCACCCTTATACCTAGACTGTTGTGTCTTTCCTAGGCACCCGTCCTTATCCCTAGACTGTTGTGTCTCCCTAGGCTCCCGTCCTTATACCTAGACTGTTGTGTCTCCCGAAACACCCGTCCTTATACCTAGACTGCTGTGTCTACCTAGGCTACCGTCCTTATACCGAGACTGTTGTGTCTCCCTAGGCATCCACCCTTATACCTAGACTGTTGTGTCTTTCCTAGGCACCCGTCCTTATCCCTAGACTGTTGTGTCTCCCTAGGCTCCCGTCCTTATACCTAGACTGTTGTGTCTCCCGAAACACCCGTCCTTATAATAAAATGTTGTGTCTCCCTAGGCAACCACCCTTATACCCAGACTGTTGTGTCACCCTAGCCATCCGTCTTCATACTTAGAATGTTGTGTCTTCCTAGGCACCCGTCCTTATACCTAGACTGTTCTGTCTCCCTAGGCACCTGTCCTTTTCCCTATACTATCGTGTCGCACTAGACACCCGTCCTTACACAAAGACTGCTGTTTCTAACTAGCCATCCGTCTTCATATCTAGAATGTTGTGTCTTCTTAGGCACCCGTCCTTATACCTAGACTGTTGCCTAGACTGTTGTGTCTCCCTAGGCACCCGTCCTTATATCTAGACTGTTGTGTCTCCCTAGGCCCCGTCCTTATAACTAGACTGTTGTGTCTCCCTAGGCACCCGGCCTTATACCTAGACTGTTGTGTCTCCCTAGGCTCCCGTCCTTATACCTAGACTGTTGTGTCTCCCGAAACACCCGTCCTTATACCTAGACTGCTGTGTCTACCTAGGCTACCGTCCTTATACCGAGACTGTTGTGTCTCCCTAGGCACCCGTCCTTATACCTAGACTGTTCTGTCTCCCTAGGCACCTGTCCTTTTACCTATACTATCGTGTCGCACTAGACACCCGTCCTTACACAAAGACTGTTGTTTCTAACTAGCCATCCGTCTTCATACCTAGACTGTTCTGTCTCCCTAGGCACCCGTCCTCATACCTAGACTGTTCTGTCTCCCAAGGCATCCGTCCTCATACCTAGACTGTTGTGTCTCCCTAGGCACCCGTCCTTATACCTAGACTGTTGTGTCTCCCTAGGCACCCGGCCTTATAACTAGACTGTTGCGAGGACGTTTAACGCCAAACAAACAATCAACAAAAGTTGCCATCATGTTTTGTTTACTTAAGTTGAGATAAAATTGGATAAAGAACAAAAATGAAATTTCAACATACAATAAACTAGAACTATTTACAATGAACTATTTTTTTTCCCATGACAACATTTTGTTATCAAAAATAATCGCGAGAATAATTCACAGTGTCAGATTTTTCCTCGTGACGCGGTTCTGGTAAATCCCTACATCACAAATAAACGCACCAGCCGTCCCTTTCACACGTACAAGTACCTACAGGGCATTTAATTGAAACTAGAATCAACACAAATGCCATACAGATGAAGTACGTGTAATAATCCAATCAAATTAAGGGTTAAAGCCGTACCTATTTACAGCACTGACATGTTTTGAGGACCAAATCGTAATTTTAAGAATAAATGAATAATAACATAAATAACACGACAGTAGAAGAATATATATATATATGATATAACTACATGTATTTACCACATATCATTTTGATACCAACAACACCAAACTATCAATCAGTTGAATGATTCCTTTTACTATTTTGAAGATCACAACAGAAGAATATATGTCAAATGTTCTACCATAGAGTATGATATATGCTTTTCTCCAAATTACATCTTGACGTAAAACCATTGTCAATAATGTATATTCATAAATGCCACACCCAAAAGCCATCAATGTTGTGTAGTCTGTGGGGAGTAGATTTCTATTTACAGGAAGGTCAACTAATATAAATAGACATTAGTTTGCACGCGGTTTTTTAAATGCAATAATATTTTTAAAACTCAAATGATAACAGTCAAATAAAGTGTCCATTATTTTATTAGTTCTCTAATACATATTTTTATTTTACACTAATGGTTCGAAAGATGATCATGAAGTTGCTGCAGCGATGTAACAGTTGTCGCTATTTGATGCCGACTACCATATTGTGCATTACTATACTCATACATAGGACTACCTCAAAATGTCGCATTATATTATGCTTGGTTCCCGGCCATGTGGTAATACTTGGTAATGAAAAGGCAGATCGCGCGCCACCAACGCGGCTTTATTGCTACCACCACTTGATTGTAAACTTCATTTTAGACATTTCAAACCGTTAATAACACATTTGGCTAAGGTAAAAATGGCAAACTAAATGGAATCAATGCGTAGACAACAAATTACACTGTGTAAAACCAAAAAACGGTGAATGGTATACACGCTAAAGAAAAAACCGAGGTTAAATGAAATATTTATCACAAATATTGTTCAGGAGATGGCACCTTACAGCGACCTAATTATCAATATGAATCAGCATAATGGCATTTTCTAAACATAAATCAACGCTTATATATTATAAACTGAATACCTAATTGTCAAAGTCTATCAATAGAAAGCATCTTGTTTTTTCTGTTAAAATCTGTTATATTTCCTTATATCCCTCGAGTTTTAAAATTTGGCCCATTTGAATTGGTTGTTGCTTTCAAAATCAACACATGCATACTAATACTTATTTATATATACTGTCCTACTTCTGCCAATAAACATCGCCTCCCTACAGACTATGCAGTATTGATGGCTTTTAAGTCTGAACTTTCTAAACTTAGGTTATTTCCTACCTGTTTTCGTCGTTGCCATTCGGGACAAATATACTTGTTTGACATGGAATACAGCCTACTTTAGTCTCGATCGTTGTCACACGAAAGCTTCATGTTTTGTAAATATACTTGTTTGACATTGAATACAGTCTGCTTCAGTCTTGATCGTTGTCACACAAAGCTTCATGTTTTGTAAATATACTTGTTTGACATTGAATACAGTCTGCTTCAGTCTTGATCGTTGTCACACAAAGCTTCATGTTTTGTAAATATACTTGTTTGACCTGGAATACAGTCTACTTCAGTCTTGATCGTTGTCACACGAAAGCTTCATGTTTTGTAAATATATGTACTTGTTTGACATGGAATACAGTCTACTTCAGTCTTGATCGTTGTCACACGAAAGCTTCATGTTTTGTAATCGTTAGTGTTTGCACTTCATAGTAATGAGAACATGTATAATAGTATCCAATATCCATGTGTACATATCCAAAAGTAATCAGTTACGAGACCTGTTACATTTTTAATTCGTCTATTATTTGTATTACGGTGCAGTGATTGGCCTAATTACCTAGGGAACCATCCGTCGTGTGACTGGCTACCGCGATCAACCAATTACTTCGACAATATTATTATGACTGCATGACTTGCTGTATAATTAAAAGTACACTTTTATCAACACAAAAGAGGTCAATATGTCTATTTCATTTAAAAAAAAAAACATCTATTGTTCTTTAGTATTTTGAATACCTAATCGGATCGATGAATCGCTAAATCGCTCACTATTTCCACGAACAGTACGTATCTGACACAGTGAAACCAAAATAGTATGGTTTAAAGATTTGAACTGTTGATGACTATGAGAACAAAGATTCGGTGGTATGTTAATTTGATATTATTCCGTTTTCGAGAAGAGTAATTTGTAAATCAGTCAGAAGGTTGTACATTGTTACTATTTTTAGAAACCGATGTCTGTCTGTGTCATTGTGGTTCATCTTTTCTGAAATGAATAATTTTTATCCACTCTATATTATCTTGTCGAAATTATATACATCAAGTATCAAAAATCACGTCGTTTTTACTTCTAAGGTCAATGCTGATTTTATTGAATGATTTTGGATGCACAAATTACTAGTTTCAAGGAAAACAAATCTATCTTCACTTTTGTGCATGAAAGGCGAACAAGCGTTTATTCAGGCTGATCGATCCACCTCTGAAACTTCTGAAGACACAATATACCAAAATCTAATGTTTGAATTATTACCAGGCGAAAGGATTTCACGGGGTCATCTCGTTCGTGGTTGCAATGTTCCGACATCAGTTCCAATCCAAGTTGCTGAGTTACCCGGAAATAAAAACCAATACCTACAGGAACATGCAAATTCAAACGCTGGCACGCATTCTTTGTGACGCTAACTACACAACCTTGTACTATCTTTCAGATGGTCCATTTGCTTTCTATCGCTATTTATATGACATAGCTGCCTTTACATGTTGCCCCGACTGCCTCGACTGACTGGCTACTTTATCCATCGCATCAAATGTACTTTCTCTCAATTCGAGTCCCCCATCTGCGTAATTGATGTTCTTGAAACGTATTCATTTGAAGGGTCATTTAAGAGAATAAAGCCAATACAGTTTTTCAATGCTTACACTCGAAATTCTGGCCGTGTAACGTGATTGTACACCAACAACAAAAACGACAGTTTGAGCACAGAATCCATGCTTGAACATGATAATGGTTTCTATGATTACCGACCCTGATCATTGAAATTCTCATATGTAGTAGCTGCATGTGGGTGGTACTGCGATAAATGTTATTACTTCTTAATTTGGATCATTCTCCAGACAATTCCACCTTATCTGTTTATGATTCCCTCCAAAGTTTCTAGTCACCATATGGACGCATTAGTGTATGCGACACACATACATGCAAAAACAACATGTCTGTCGTCCTCGTTCGTTCTCTGACTGATTTATGTGGTAAGAGTCACCTAAATTGTCAGCAGACATATTTGATAAACCCTTTTTTGCTGTTCTTAAAATCCTGTCATTGAGTAAACGTGTCTGTCAAACATCTTTCATGAAGTCAAGTCTCTGCATTGTCCTGTTTTAAGACTTTAAATTATAGTACCTACATAGCAATACTACGGTAGTTGAAACATTAAAAGAATGAACGAATGTTTTATTTCTTAGTATTCTATATTTTTTATAACGAAATCAAAATCAACAGTTTTGATTCTGTGTTTTATTGAATTTTAACGAGAATTCCGTTTTTTGGCCAATGTTTTTAAAATTGTGTTTGAAGCAAATATATTTGAGTGCTATCCGATGGCCTGTTCGCCGTCCCCGATGCTACTAAAAAAGAAAGAAACATGTTTCAATAAAGGCGAAATAGTTCTACATACGGCCAATTGCATGTGAAGGAAATTTGTTCAACTATGTGAGCAAACATGGAAAATACAATTACATGTCAACAAACAATACAATTCAAAATAAAATAAACCATGTCAACATACCAGATTATGTAAAAACAACACGATGTAAACAAAAAAATACGTGTTAACAACCAAAATCATATTTACAAACGACCACATGCTCCAATCGTGTGTCTAATTTTGCCATTTTTCTAATACTTAATAGTGCAATAAATAAAGGAAGGATCTTGGCGCCTACCATCGTACCATCTTCTTGATTTTATATAGGCTCGAAATTTTCCCTATTTGTTGGATTAAGTAATCAACATTTAATTAATTAACATAACTAGGAACATAGAGATAATTCTTTTCAGAAAATCCCAACCAAATATTTCTGAGAAATAGCGCTTACATACATGTACTTATATTCTCAAATTTGTTTTTTCAGATCACTCCTAAATTCGTTCTGCTAAACGAGAAACCATATGGAGCCTCCTAGTGAAACGAGAAAGAGCAAAATCTATAACTCTCAAAATTCAAGATGGCCGCCTGACACCTTTTTTAATCAGTCAAAACTTGATTAGGCATCACCATGGACAACCCGGGAATCTTCTCCATTTTAGATTCGAAAAAGATCGCTCCAGTACTTCTAAGAAATTGCGCTTTCTCGAACAATCCAAATTGCGGCATGCGTACGTAAAGACCCAGGAGAACCTTACTGTGAACTTTTAGAAAGATTCTTCAAGTTATACATGAGAAACAGCGCAAAGAATAATATTTAAAGGACGGACTAACATGAACAAACCTCATACAGAAAAGCATACCAAGACTCTCCGATACATAGAAACAGACCTTACACAACTAATCATACAAAGACTCCCCGGTACATAGAAACAAACTTTATACAGAAAATCATACCAAGACTCCCCTGTACATAGAAACAGACCGCACACATAGAATCATACCAAGACAATAGTTGTTATCCCTCCGATGGCTCGGGGTTTTCTCCGTGGGTTTTCCCCCATCACGAAAGCAACATTTGTTCCCTTAGCGGCGTCGTAATAAAAGCTCTTTAGAGCTTATGTTTGTTGTTGACAATGTTCACGACGTTAAATAAAGATTATGTATTTATTATCAATCATTTACCTTCTACAGAGCAACAATACTATAACTTTTATAGATTGATAGCTTGAGCTTGGTTGACGAAAATGAGGGATATCTATGTTTGCTTTGAAACCTTTAGACATAAAGAAATAACAGTGCTTGTTATTGTTTATTTTTACTTGAGGGTCCATGAACCAGCACTTCAAAACAGAAATAGGTTTGCAATTGATAAAAGGGGGCGCTACGTGACTTCGATGAAGGGAACGCCCGTCGGGTCAGGTGATCACGTGATGTGCAGTGCGGTACTACATTATGTATATAATGCCTGCAAATCAAGCTGGTGGTGCCACTCTTTGCTGCGATTTATTACCTTTCCAAAATATATTTAGGTTAACGAAAAGATAGCTTTTGTTGAGCATTTTTGTATTCAAATGTCTGCGAATTCCAGCTAATATTAAGCAAATGAACATGCCTCGTCTGTAACGGATTCCGAAACGTCCGTTAACATAAACAAAACAAGTTAGGTGTAAGCTCTAGAGGACCGAATAAATTATAAAGGCCCGGTCACAACCCACCGTGCGTGTTTTTAGTCTGCACGTTTTTTGGGGAGGCCACGGTCGCCCCGTTTTTCTGAAAACGTGGGGAGGGAGGGGCAAGAGCAGGGAGAGAGTCCGTCAACGCACGTCACTCGCACGGTGTAAGTACGTGGCCCGGACGCCACGCCTGGCCGTGAGCGGTTGCGTGCATCGTACGTTGCACACGTGGTAAGTGAGTTATACGTGCTTACAACTTGCTTACAACGTACGATCTCCGTGCGATTGCCACGTTATCCTACGGAGGCCGTACTTACACGTGCGATGCGATGAACGTGAGTTTTTCCGCCCAATGTCGGGGCCCAATGTCTGTGTCCTCTTATTAGGCATCTTGGAGACGAAATGTTGGCACTCGTCCGTCGGCTCGGCTTTTATATATCCTGCAGAAATCAGTGCGCACAACGTTCTTTGTAAGTGTGGAGCACGTGCTTACTCGGTACGGTCCACGTCAGTTCTGCGTGCTCATTGGACAGAAGAACTGGGGAAGTGCCGGGTAAGCACAGACCACGCACTTATCACGTGCGCAGCACGCACGTGCTAAGTGCGCCGCCCGTAGAGCAAGTGACCGTGCAAGAGTCAGTGCGTTGTGCGTTCATTGGCTGTAGAAGGCACGCGCGTCACCCGTACTGGGATGAATCCGTAACCCGACCGTCTCCCGAACACAGCGAAAATTCCTCATGCACTAAAAGTGCTACGGCGTGTCTGCGTGCTCCCAAATCCGTATTGAGGAGGTACTCACTCACCACCCCCAATTTCCCACGTTTTTGCAAGTAGACAGCACGATAGACTTGCAAGTACGGCGGGTTGGGACCACGGCTTAACATACTAGTATAAACACCGCAGATAGAGATACAGTGATGTTATTACACAGGAAAGGGAGAATTCACGATCTGTAAGTCGAAATCGGGCTGCTTATTGGCATCTTAATAAGAAGCTATGCCGGTTTGTCATGTTTTTTTAAACAGCACATCGCTAGGTTTTGGAGGCATACACATAAGTAGCTAACTTACTTCGTTTTGCAAATGAAGTTCCAGACATGTCGACAGGGTTCATCAGCCCACTGGTACGCATGGTCTCTCCAAAGGGCCAAACAGTCTGCTGATGCTCCTTGGTTTGGTTCTCCACTGTGCCAGTCATTAAACGTTATTAGATCGTCAGATGTAGTCCAACGCCAAGAACCCTCTACCTCAAAATCGTTGCCATCTAACCAGTATCCTGCTGGGAAACAGAACACATTACAATGTTGATTATTTTGGACTTTTGTCAAACATTAATCTGATTTTTGTTCTGTTGACGCATAATTGCTGCACGCGTGTACAAAACAATTGCTAAATTTGTGTTATTTGGAGAGGGATTTATACAAACTTTTAGGCTGTTTCCCCCCAGAAATCGTTTGTACAATGATTGTAAAAATTATAATTCAATTTGATTTCAAATGTGTCAGATTTTAAATTTAATCGTACAAATGACACCCCTCTGTCTCTTTGATTAAAGTGTATTGGACTGAATGTTTTGATTTTGATAGCTGATCAAATGAACTCTGCATGCCGTGTACAGTTGGCTAGTTTCATCTACATGTATGCAACAATACAATTGCACTGTTCTGCTAAACAAATAAACAGGTGTTTAACAAAGCTCTCATTATCAGTTTGTTAAATACTGGTTTTGTACTTAATCTTAGATTTTAAAAACAAAAATGTCAAATAGGGATATCTGGCTAATGCGAAAACTGAAGACTTATGTTTTATATTTACGTTATATGCATTGGGATTCAAATACATAAAATAAATATGTCTTTCAAGTTTAATGAAATATCAATTCAAGATAAGTAAAATTAAGGAATACTTTGTTTTAAAACGTTTGCCTGTGCCTTCAGGAAGGAATTCTCGGCAGCCGAATTAACAGTGGCAAGGTGACCTTTCAGATCGGCACAAATGATCTGAAATATAATGAATATATATATTTAGGAGATGTATATTGCAAGAGCAAAGCATCACGTTATATATTCATCAGGTATAATAAAATAGTTTATTTGTTATAAATATTACCATTTCTCGCAAGTCACATACAGTACATGTACATGTATAAGTGATAAAATACATATAAGTATGAGTTTGCAGTATAAAATCGACGTCGATGCAGACACGCTATAGATGCATGTACAATAATTTGTTTAACATGTACAAAATGACGAAGAAAAAGACAAATCCATTCAGCTACAGTTAATTTACTTCCTTTCGTAAATGTGCAAGAGTCTATATGTCCCCTTATCTCGGTCCAATGGCAAACCAAGGATAAAAAAGACATCAGATTTAAAACAAGACAAAGAAACAGACAGCATAAAAAGCTTAAGTAACAAAACGGAGTAAATTCCGACATTTAAGAAATCAGGTTATTTCATTAATTAGGAAAGCCAAAGAAATGTTTTTGGAAAACCTTCAAAATCCATTATTAGACAAATTAAGTGGTGGAAAATAGGCAAAATATGTTCTATTAAATTGAAGTAATGGCATTATTGATATACAGAATACATATTTGATGGAGTTTGTCCATAGATATACACTGTCTATAAGGGCTACAAGAAGGTTCCAATAGACTAGTGTTTTGTCTTATATTGTATATTTCTATTAGTACCAGTATTTCATACTGTTGATCTTAGTCACCAGCGTGGATTGACCATCGGGCAAATCATGTGTAGGACTTTATATGGTCATGACACCAAGGTAAGGAAAGATCGTTAAGAGTAATTGAATATATAAATATTTAACAATTAAAATGATATGTAGCTAAACAATCCAATAGGAAATATGAATAATGGTAATAAGGCTCATTGTATGCCATAAATACATAAACCAGTATTGATTTCAAATTAATACATGTAATAATATTAAACAGAAATGTTTATAGTTGCAAACGAATGCTATTCATATAGCAACCAATCGAAACCGGTACCTCCATGTGTGTGTGTGCTTGTGTGTGTGTGTGTGTGTGTGTGTGTGTGTGTGTGTGTGTGTGTGTGNGTGTGTGTGTGTGTGTGTGTGTGTGTGTGTGTGTGTGTTTGTGTGTGTGTGTGTGAGTGCTTGTGTGTGTGTGTGTGTGTGCTTGTGTGTGTGTGTGTGTGTGTGTGTGTGTGTGCTTGTGTGTGTGGGTGTGTGTGTGTGTGAGGGTGTGTGTGTGTGTGTGTGATTGTGTGTGTGTGCTTGTGTGTGTGTGTTTGTGTGTGTGTGAGTGTGTGTGTGAGTGTGTGTGTGTGTGTGGGTGTGTGTGTGTGTGTGTGTGCGTGTGCTTGTGTGTGTGTGTGTGCTTGTGTGTGTGTGCTTGTGTGTGTGTGCTTGTGTGTGTGTGTGTGTGTGTGTGTGAGTGTGTGTGTGTGTGTGTGTGATTGTGTGTGCGCGTGTTTGTATGTCATTCAAATATTGTTATATCAAAGGAAGTTGAGGAGAAGGCTTGTATAGGATATGCTTGTTGCTCAATCTGATTGATTATTACATGTAAATAAATAAAACATATCTGAACTTAGACCATCTCGGTTCCTAACTGGCCCAGTGCGGTTTATCCAGATAGCTTCCATTATCTGCCGCTTGAACAAATTGCTTTCTTTGTCCCCTTTGTAGTATACGTTGGAGTCATCCCAGTGAATATTTTGATTTTGCTTGATGGCATAAACCTTGCCTTTGATCGCCTATTGATTGATCACCTTCCTTTCAAGGTTTCCGTATCTTTCCTATGTTCCGATGAAGTCGGACGTCAAATCCACTTTCATTCTCTCCGATGTAAGATGCGTCACAGATTTTGCTTAACGACTCTCGCACATAAATCACGTGGCATTAAACAACGAGTAGCCGATTCCACTTTTCGGTTTGACCCGTCAGTCAGTAGTAGATTCGACGTCGATTTGATGTCAACTCTTACGTATTTTACATTTTGTTTGATGACGGTGACATGATACGTACGGTACTAACAGTTAGTAACGAAAAGTTCCATATAAAAAAAATACTGGTTGCGAAACATTAAACCTTGCTACAAACCAACGGAAAGGTGTTTAGAAATAATTTATGCATAGCGTCATACAGTTTAACAAAGATCTAGAATAACTGTGAATAATATAGTAAAACAAAGGATTGTATACATGAATTGTTATTCTTTTTATTTAATATAATTTTCTGTTTTCTCTTTATCCAACATCAGAAAGGTTTAATGTGTGATATATCGGTATAGTACTATTAGTGTAGCTCTATCACACTGTGTGATACATCGGCATATTACTGTAAGTGTATCACAATCACATTGTATAATGTGTGATACATCTGTATATTACTGTTAGTGTAGCACAATCACATTGTATAATGTGTGATATATCGGTATATTACTGTTAGTGTATTTCAATCACACTGTATAATGTTTGATATATCGGTATATTACTGTTAGTGTAGCTCTATCACATTGTGTGATACATCGGTATATTACTGTTAGTGTAGCACAATCACACTGTATAATGTGTGATACATCTGTATATTACTGTTAGTGTAGCTCTATCACACTGTATAATGTGTGATATATCGGTATATTACTGTTAGTGTAGCTCTTTCACACTGTGTGATACATCGGTATATTACAGTTAGTGTAGCTCTATCACATTGTGTGATACATCGGTATATTACTGTTAGCGTAGCACAATCACACTGTATAATGTGTGATACATCTGTATATTACTGTTAGTGTAACTCTATCACGCTGTATAATGTGTGATATATCGGTATATTACTGTTAGTGTATTTCAATCACACTGTATAATGTTTGATATATCGGTATATTACTGTTAGTGTAGCTCAATCACACTGTATAATGTGTGATATATCGGTATATTACTGTTAGTGTAGTTCTATCAAACTGTAAAATGTGTGATACATCGGTATATTACTGTTAGTGTAGCTCTATCACACTGTGTGATATATCCACGCTGTATAATGTGTGATATATCGGTATATTACTGTTAGTGTAGCACAATCACACTGTATAATGTGTGATATATCGGTATATTACTGTTAGTGTAACTCTATCACATTGTGTGATACATCTGTATATTACTGTTAGTGTAGCTCTATCACGCTGCATAATTTGTGATATATCGGTATATTACTGTTAGTGTAGCTCTTTTACACTGTATAATGTGTGATACATCGGTATATTACTGTTAGTGTTTTTCTATCACGCTGTATAATGTGTGATATATCGGTATATTATTGTTTGTGTATTTCTATCACGCTGTATAATGTGTGATATATCGGTATATTACAGTTAGTGTAGCTCTTTCACACTGTGTGATACATCGGTATATTACAGTTAGTGTAGCTCTATCACAATGTGTGATACATCGCTATATTACTGTTAGTGTAGCACAATCACATTGTAAATTGTGTGATATATCGGTATATTACAGTATGTGTAGCACAATCACACTGTAAAATGTGTGATACATCGGTATATTACTATTAGTGTAGTTCTATCACGCTGTATAATGTGTGATATATCGGTATATTACAGTTAGTGTAGCTCTATTACACTGTATAATATGTGATACATCTGTATAATACTGTTAGTGTAGCTCTATTACACTGGGTATATTACTGTTAGTGTAGCACAATCACACTGTATAATGTGTGATATATCGGTATATTACAGTTAGTGTAGCTCTATTACACTGTATAATATGTGATACATCTGTATAATACTGTTAGTGTAGCTCTATTACACTGTATAATGTGTGATATATCGGTATATTACTGTTAGTGTAACTCTATCACGCTGTATAATGTGTGATATATCGGTATATTACTGTTAGTGTAACTCTATCACGCTGTATAATGTGTGATATATCGGTATATTACTGTTAGTGTAACTCTATCACGCTGTATCATGTGTGATATATCGGTATATTACAGTTAGTGTAGCTCTATCACACTGTGTGATACATCGGTATATTACTGTTAGTGTAGTTCTATCACGCTGTATAATGTGTGATATATCGGTATATTACCGTTAGTGTAGCTCTATCACACTGTGTGATATATCGGTATATTACTGTTAGTGTAGATCTATCACACTGAGTGATATATCGGTATATTACTGTTAGTGTAGCTCTATCACATTGTGTGATATATAGGTATATTACTGTTAGTGTAGCTCTATCACATTGTGTTATATATCGGTATATTACTGTTAGTGTAGCTCTATCACATTGTGTGATATATCGGTATATTACTGTTAGTGTAACTCTATCACGCTGTATCATGTGTGATATATCGGTATATTACAGTTAGTGTAGCTCTATTACACTGTATAATATGTGATACATCTGTATAATACTGTTAGTGTAGCTCTATTACACTGGGTATATTACTGTTAGTGTAGCACAATCACACTGTATAATGTGTGATATATCGGTATATTACCGTTAGTGTAGCTCTATCACACTGTGTGATATATCGGTATATTACAGTTAGTGTAGCTCTATCACACTGTGCGATACATCGGTATATTACTGTTAGTGTAGCTCTATCACACTGTGTGATACATCGGTATATACTGTTAGTGTAGCTCTATCACATTGTGTGATACATCGGTAAATTACTGTTAGTAGAGCACAATCACACTGTATAATGTGTGATACATCTGTATATTACTGTTAGTGTAACTCTATCACGCTGTATAATGTGTGATATATCGGTATATTACTGTTAGTGTAGATCTATCACACTGAGTGATATATCGGTATATTACTGTTAGTGTAGCTCTATCACATTGTGTGATACATCGGTAAATTACTGTTAGTATAGCACAATCACACTGTATAATGTGTGATACATCTGTATATTACTGTTAGTGTAGCTCTATCACACTGTGTGATATATCGGTATATTACTGTTAGTGTAGCTCTAT